ATAATTATTTATTTTGTATAGACATAATAATAATATTTGTTTTTTTCAAAAAAATTAATTACCATTTTATCTAACAATTGTTGTAATTTTTGTTTTTCTTCAATATCCTTTTCTTTTTCAATTCTTTTAGAAATTTCATTAATCTCTGATTTTTTATATTCTTCTATAAATTCATAAGATTTTTCAAATAATCCTTCATTAAATTTTCCTGATAAATTGTCAAACCTTGGATCTCGATTTTTCTAATTTATCAATTAATAATAATAGTATTATTATTATTATTATTATAAATTGAAATGTGCTTATGATTACTGTTAAAATATTCCTTTTACCTTGATATTATTAGGAAGTTCAACAACTTGACGAAATCTTCCAACTGCTTTTTTGGATGTAATTTCCATTGGTCTTTCAATGAATAAAATAATATGTTATTAATATACATTTAATAAAATAAATTTAAAAAAATTTTTTTTTAAACATACCGATGTTTGCTTGATCTTTTTTTTGTTTCATAATTATTATCAAATCCTTGTTCTTCCTCTTTCTTTTGTAAATCTTTAAAGTCTTCCAAATTAACATCATCAATATCATCATCATCATCACTATAGCTATTGAATTGAGGTTTTTCTTCCATCATAATTTAATTTTCACGTAAAAATATTTGATCTGCGCATCAATTAAACAGCCAATGAGAGGATTTTTTATGGGTACAATGATGATCATTCAGGAGTTTGTCTTTTTAACCAACGTTTTGATGATTTCATAACATCGTTAATAGTAGTAATAGTAGTATATAGTAGTAGTATCAGCAACAACAATCCAAAAAATCATAATAATAATGCCACACAACTACCAGCACTATGTCATCATTATCGGCATTAATGTCATCTAATGAACTTACATTTCAATGTGCAATTCACGAAAAATGGACCTTGCTTCTTTTGTTCGTACGGTGATGTGCAAACTTGATTTTTTTTTCGCACAAGTGCGCACAGCGTGCGTAGTGTCAAATGAACATAGTGCACATGCATAGTGTATGTGTAGTAATAAAAATTTTCGCTTACTGTCCCACAAGGAAGTGCCCAAATATTAAAAAAGGATTACAAGAAAGAGCTATTACAAGTTTATAATGACAATGGATCCCATCGATTTTTTGAAAGATGGCTATAAGCATTCTGCATATTTTAACGAATAGTGACAATGTTAATATTCAGAACAATGACGACTCGGGCTAAATTTTTTATTTTCGTGGAGTATTATTAACAATGATGATAATAATACAATAATAATGATTCAATAGTGCATGGCAACAACAGTAATAATAATATAACAACAATTTTTGGTCAACGACAATAATAATAATAATAGTTCAATTAGCAACTATTAAGTTTAATAATAATAGTACTAATTTCAATAATAAAATTTGTTGTTGGACCATTATAATATTTTTTTGGTTTGCCTTTTACTTTTTCTTATGCATATATTAATATTTTTTCAAAATAATTAAATATATACGTCTTCACATGTGCTAATTTTCGGAGACTTGGATTAGATTAAAAATTTAATTTCACGTTTAAATCAACAAATTTTTTTTACTACAAGTATATATATATATATATGTATATTTTACTATCTAGTGCAGTTCCTGCACTTGTATTATTAAATAATCAATTAGAAGGCAATTCATCCTCTTCTTCTTCAAGTTCTGATTCCAAAGAGATTGAAATATTTGGTAAAATAATTGACAGAGAAGATTATTTAATCCTAAGATTAAAATATAATCCGATCCTGAATCATTCGTGCAACAAATGTTAATTCTATATACCCGAAAATTTGTACATGTGAAGACGCCCATAGTTATAATAAAATAAAATGAAGATCGATTGTTATTACATTTAAACTGGTCATTCTAGCTTATTATATATATAATTTCTATATTTTCATATAGGAAATTCTTGTCAATGACATTAAAAAGTAAAATTGGGGGGGTTTGGTTTATACAGAAGTCAAAATTAATTAAAGAACAAGATCATAGGTATAAAAGACAACTAAAGAATGAGAGGAAGAAGAAAGAATTAGAACTTGTTGGTAAAGGAAAGAATCCCTATTTCTTAAAAAGAGGTAAGTTATTTATTTACTTGTTATTTTTTTCATAAAGATCCATCATAATATTATTCTAATTATTATAATATCTAAATCTGATTATTATGATTATGATTTTATAAAAAAATCAAACAGCCGAAGAAAATAAATTGGAATTAATTGATAAATATAAAAAAATTAATAATAATAAAAAGAAATTAGATAACATTATTGAAAAACGTAGGAAAAAGAATGCATCAAAAGAAATTAAGCATTTACCTTTTAAGAAAAGACGAAAACTTGACAGATGAATAGATATACATATGAATGATTTGATAATTTTTATTTAAAAAAATACATGATTAATTATTAAGGATCTGCAGGTTTAAAAATATATAATTACTGTAAATATTTTTTTCTTCCATTAATATTTTTTTTTTGATAAAGTTTTTTCTCTTTACACATTAATATATATCATGATTTCCTTGAAACCAAGGCTGAAAAATAAAATAAAATTTTATTTAATTTATTATTTTAAAAGAACAGAGTTAATTTCTTTTGTTAATTAATGTGAATAGGACCGGAAATTTCTAATTGAGGTCCCAAGTGTGCGGTGCCAACCAAATTTGGTAATTATCAAAAATCAAAAATCTGCCAATAATTACCAAATCTACTGCTTAATGCTACCATCCTCATATGAATCATATATGAATTGATCGTTATGTCATTTCAATTAAAAATATGTGGAAAGGCCATACTTATAAAAAATCATCTCTTGCAAATTCTCCTTTGACTCTGCTCCTAAACAAGAAGCTAGTCTAAAGAAAAGAAAATAGAAAAAAAATACCTCCAATAAATTGTATGATCTGCAAACTCTGTTATCAATTAGCAAACAAAACTGCAAAAAAAACCTCCCAGTCTTGAATTCTTGATTATTTCTTCACTTGAAGTGCGAATTACTTGGAAGGTATGAAATTGAAAATCTAAGTCAACTTGAAAACAATTACATAGTAATAGTAAAAATCAACTTTGATCTTATCGACCAGATCTGCAAACAGTCAAAATTATTTTGGTTTCATATTATATAATATGGATATTGCAGAAGACAATGATCAGTTGATAAATGATCAAGACAGTGTTAGCATTTTTATATGTCCAATTAATTTTCAATTGGATTTGTCTTGTCCAATTTGTCCAATTGGCGCAGTAGCTATTTGGACATTTGAAAATTCTAAATTCTAACATGATATAAAATATAATGTTTATTTGGAATTAGAACAATGAAAAATAACCTCATTCTTTGATTAATGATTTTTTGTTTTGTTTTTTTATCTCAGGTAATAACAATATATCTGATACATCCACATCAATGTCAACACCATCATCAACATTGCTAAATAAAAACATCATAAATTTGACTTTGGATTCTTTTCAAAGCAATAATACTAATAAATATGATATTGAGAATTTATGCTACATACTCCTACAAAATCTGAAGAATCATTTGCTTCATATAACTCTATCTAATGGTCTGGCTTTCAAGTGAAGAAGTAAAGTCCCTTTTCAAATGGTTGGATCCAAATAGAAAGGCTCCTTCTGGAAGAATTTTGAATGATGCATCTTTTAAACATAATCATTGGATAGAACAGCAAGCATCCAGTTTGTGTCCAAATTACCTAATATAATAATTTGGACACATTGGACTGTCCAAATATGCCAATGTGACTTTGTTACATCATGTCCAATTCCAAATACTAATTAGACATTTGGATCCAGATATTGGACACAATTTGGACAATTTGGACATTTGGACAGATTTGCCGACACTGGATCAAGATGATTGGGAAGTAAAGAATCCTAAAACCAATGGCACAGTTAAACAGAAGAATGCTTACCAGAGTTTGAACGTTGCTTGTAAAGAATTAAGAGAGATGTGAGAGAATATTATGCTAAAAGAAACATTCCTTAGGCAGTTATATAAACAAAAAAGTTATTGTAATAATATTCTCAAAAGTGTTAAGACAAAGAAAAAGAAATCTATACAGAAGTCACAACCAAAGATTTACCATTTCAATATGGTCACACTCTACTGTTGAACATTTTGGATATCTTTAACCTTGTCACCAATTGCTGAGGAAAGAATAGACAAGTGGTTTTAGTGCAAGATGAGCTAGGCATGTGGTTAGACTTTTACTGAGATTGAATCACATGTTAACCTTCCTTTGTGATTAAAGATGACAGTGGTACTGAGTATGTATATTGATGAAGAGAGTCAACACACATCATATCATCTCCTCCTTGTCTTGATGAAATCAAACTTCTACATTCTTTAAAATTACAGCTCCTATATCAACATACCCAAAAACTAATAAAACATTGAGAGAATTCTCTTAAAAAATTGGAGAATAAGAAGAAGGCCTGTGAGTGATTCAGGATCTTGCATAAAAGGAGAATTCCAATAAAGCAGCTCAGATCATGTCAGAAATTGATGCAGCTCATAGCATCTATCAAGAGCTTGCCAAGATCCGAAGAACTTTGAATGTTCCAAGTTTCAGTTGAAGAATTGATGCAATAAACAAAGAGAACATGTACAATGCTTGGTGCTGTAGATAGAAATCATATAAGTGAACATACCAGAAAAAGCTTGAGATAAATCATCATCTATATCATCACCTACACCAAATGTACCAATTGGAATAGCTGGCATAGGAATTGATTATCATATAAAAGGCCATGCTCAAAGATGTGGATATCATTCCTCACAGACTTGTGTAAGTATGTGATGCTGCTGAGCATATCGATCCATTATTCATTTCATTCAAGTATGGCTACACTACAAAGCCTCGGGATTTTCATTCAGCAACTGCCATTGCTATTGCTGGTGCATCCAGACTGATCTCAGCTTCAAAAACTAACACACCTACACCAACCATGAGTGCCAGTCAATTTATACTAGACATTCAACAACACACTCTCAACACCAAAAAGGTCCAACAAGAGTCTCTCCTGGCCAAGGAGATTTTACTGGATATTCATTATATGAGTTCCATTTGTTAATTAATATAATGTTAATAGGTAAATATAATCAGATTAATATATTAATACATAAAAAAACCATTTTAATATTTCTCCTTGAATCATCATCACCACCAATATATAAAATAATAAAGAAAAAACTTTAGGAATGTGTGTACAAAATAATAAATAAATACTATAAATTATTATGTATTTATGTAGATATTTATAAGTTATATTATTATTATCAAGAGGAAATAATTATCATTATTAGTAACTATAGTTCTCCTGACTAAAATTAGGATCTTGAATAAAAGCTGATAATACTTTACTTCCAGTTTGCAAAAGAGGATGACCAGCGACACTAATAATAAATTAAAATAAAAAATTAATCAATAAGTCAATGACTTGATTTTTTTTGACCCTGATGTAAGTCACTCGAGCTTCTAATAAAAATCTCAAATCATAATCATTAATTTACTTTTTAAGTCTAGGGAATTAGAGCTACAAGCAAAACAAATCAGGTTTCAAAAATAAGAAAAACTTGTTCTAGTAAATAAATAAATACATTTGTAAAAATCTTTCCAATCCTTCTCTACGATGTTCAATAATATCATCTGAAAAACGATTAGTGAAGACTTTTCCTGGTAACGATGGAATATTAACTCGAGATGATTCTCTTTCAAGGACATCACGAAACCATTCAAAATCACTGTATCTTCTTCTTACAGATGATTGTTTTAATTTAAACGTAGGAAGATTTGTCTAATTAATGAAAGCGAATGATATATATATTGATATATATATATTGTATATGATATAGAAATAATTATTAAGATCATATTATATAATTATTCCCAATATATATATATAATTTGAACATTATAATATAATATAATAACTGTTATTGACCCGACAAACAATTTCATAATCAGTATACATTTTACGACCAAAACCTATTTTTTTAGATAATATAAATATAATTATATAATTGAGTTACTGTATCATGATTTTCTAAAATTCTGTAACTTTTCAAAAAAATACCATGCGTTTGAGGATTCCGCACTTCAATTTCAAGAAAATTTTCAGGAATACCATAAATTTCATCAATTGTTTGCTCTTTCATTTGGAGTCTTGATATTGCATCAAAGTTTTTAATAGTTGGAGATGAAGGATCCATTGTTTAAAATTAATTATTTTATTTTAGAAATAAAATTTAAAGTTATGCTTGTCATTTGATAAATAGTTGGTAATTTTTTTCTCACGTGGCTTAAAATGATTCATAATCACGTTATTTTTTTGACCAAATGCATAATTGGTCGGATAATTTTATGGTGAGCATTAGTTGAAATTGGTCATTTAGAAATGGATGGGTGAAAGATATAATCATCAAGAGGCTGCAAGATGAAAACAATGATATAATTACTAAAAAATCTAGAATTTTTGTCTTCCATCACACACATCCATTTACTTTAAGCATCAAACAGATCTCATCTAGAAAGAAATTCAGCAAGTTCTATAATAACAGTTATAACCAAAATTCGGTTAATTATATTCATGAAAAGGTTACATGTTATCATTTAAATCTTTTTTAATTTTAGAAATAAATTTTCATCCATCTGATATGACGTGATGATTAATAAATATAATCTAGAAAAGATATTTTGAAATAAATAATAATTTCAAGCGACTTCAAAATTCACAGTCACCTAAAAAAAGAGGAATTAATTAATTTTTAATAAAAATTTGTGTTATTAGTAAATAATTTACTTTATAATTTTGACTTATATATAATTTTACCTTCTTGATTAGATGTTCGCCATATATTACTGAATCGTAATGTTTAATTGGATCGATTTTAAGACATTGTTCAATTGGATTAATCTTTGCATCAAAATTTGGTTCATAAAAAAAAGGAACTCTATAAATAAAATATTGTTAATGGTAATAGTAAGGCTAATAGTAATAGTAAATATAATAATAGTGATTATCATCATTACATTAAATTAGTTACAACTTACGAAACTCGATAATCATCACTTTTATGAATTACTCTATGTAAAGTGCTTTGATATAAGTTATTTGTCCAAATCTATTTTTTTATAACTATTAATTAATTATCGATTTTCAATTAAATTTTAATGATTATTAAAAAGCAGATTACTTACATTTAGCATATCACCAATATTTACTACAAATGCATCTGGTATAGGATCAGCTTGGATCCAATCTCCATTTTTTGTTCTAACTTCCAATGCTCCTTTAATATTATCCTAATCAATCAAATCAATTAATA